ACGTACACAGGATTGCTGTCCGGCATCGAGGTGTTCCGCCAGAACCTCAGCTTCTACGAGATGACACGAGCGCTGTCTGCCCGTGAGATTGCGGGTCCGCTATCGGACATCCTCCTCGTGCTACTTGGCACTGTTTTCGATCTGCAAAAGGAAGAGGAGGAGGAATGTGCTGTGACCTACCTCGATCGGGCTGCCCAAGCTCATGAACCCTTTTGGAGTATGGCGCAGGCCGCCAAAAGTCACCTATACGCCAAGAGGCACTTTTCCTTTAAGGTTAATACTCTGCTTGTACAAACGTGTGTTATTTGAACTAATTTTACTTTCCCAATAGGTAAATGAGCTACCACTAGATGCACTGACCCTGAGTGAAGTGCTGCGCCTGCATCTACTTGGATCTGGAGCTATTGTCAATGAAAAGGCGGAGCGCTGGAGAGTCATGTACCGGAATGGCTACTCGTCAAAAGAAGATCCCGGTCTGGAACTACGTCTGCAACACTCGCACATCCTGCGCACTCTTAAAAACCATTCCGTATATCAGCTTAAGTTTAAGGATATAGTGCTTCTGATTCGCTGCCTGATGTCGCAAATTCTGACCTACTCGGGGACGATTAACTTGATTGAGGAGCGTATGGAGCAAATAGCAAAGGCCAAGCAAGATCTGCGAGCTCTAGTTGTCGGGGAAAACAAGCGATTAGCCGCCGTAGAGATAAACAGGAAAAAACTAACGCATACGCACCACCTGGAGGTGCATGGCGCTGAGCCTGAGAAGAGGGAAGCGTTGGTCGAGAAATTGAACAAGAGTATTGCCGAGCTGCACGCCCAATCGGATAACCAACATCGCAAGCACGAGTTGCAGATGCTGAAGTTGCATTCGCAACTGTTCAATTTTTTGGTTTACTTGGGCATGGATAGGTGCTACCGAAAATATTATGTTTTGGAGTCCATGCCTGGAATCTTTGTCGAGCATTCGCCGGACAGCCTTGACACTTGTTTGGAGCAACCACCAACGAATAAGTCTCAAATGGAAATTCGCCAGCAGGCTGCATTGCCAAAGAATCGCAAGGACTTAAGGGTATACCTACTCAAACTCTATGGAGACGACGATAAGAGGACCAAGAAAAAGGCCAAGCACTCTCTGGAGAACAAGGAGAACCAGGAGCATCGGCTTAACGGCAGTGCAGAACCCATGGATGTCGAATCTGATCCCCCAGAGGCTCCCACTCATTTCGAGCTCTTCATGTGTAGTGGGGACAAACGAACTTGTATTGTGCATGATTCGAGAAATGGGCAAAGGCAGCGTTGGGCATATATATACAAACCCGAGGAGATCGATGAATTAATCAAGGCTCTCAATCCCAATGGTCTCCGTGAATCCGAACTCCTTCAAGAGCTTTCCGTTCTACGTTCCTTGATCGAACAGCATGTTAAGACCTGCCCAGTGGACTTGCTTAGCCTGGAAAACGAAGCAATGCGCAAGAAGTTTATTGCGGCGATGGAATCTGAAACTCACCGCAAATACGGAGAAGCAAACTTTGGGTTACCAAACGGGACCGATTTAAACGAAGTGATGCGCTTGCATTTGGTGGATCGAATTATTCAATTCGAAAATGATATTTACACTGGCGATCTCGGACGGCTGAAAGTCAAGGATATGGAAAAGTGGCGAAATGACTTGCTTGGAGGCAATTACGACGCTCAGTGCAAGTTGCAGTGGGGCCCGGGCGGTAAAATGGAAGATGAGACAGGTTCTGACAACGAGTCCCACGAAAGTCACGAGGAGGATGATGGAGCTCTGCTAGGTAAATATGCCAGGAAGCCGTATCGCGATCCCGGGTTGTTTTTGGCAGCTTCTGCAGACACAGAATCCCTACCGGACAGCGGGGATGAGGATGGTCAGCCTACGAATGCCGTCTCGATTCCCATCGCCGTGCATAACATGGCCTCGGCCCTTCTCCAAGTGGAGCAGGCTATTGGAAAGCGGTTCCTAAAGGAACCCTACGGCATGAAGAAGTGGGACCCCAAGCAGGAGGCTTTAAAGCTTGCCTGCGACTCGCGTTTGCACCAGTGGGAAGTTTCGCTAATGGAAAGTACAAGCTTTGCTCAAGTTTTTCTGCACCTAAACATCTTGCACGACTGCATTCAGTGGAGGCGTTCTACCAATAAGTCATTATGCAAGGTCTGCCGGCGTGGCAGCGATCCGGAGAAGATGCTGCTCTGCGATGAATGCAACGCTGGCACTCACATGTTCTGCCTGAAGCCTAAGCTGAGGTCAGTACCAACGGGCAACTGGTATTGCAATGATTGCGTGAAAGGTCTGGGTCTCAACAACGGTCAAAACGAAAGGGATAAAAAGCAGACGGCAAAGAAGAAACGCAGGTTTATTGTAGAAGAGGAGGAGGATAATGAAGCTACAGACGAAGAAGAGGAGGAGAAAGAGGATGGCGATATGACGGATGAGGACGCGGAGCACGTGAACGATAAAGCCGATGAGGACGCTGAGGACGACGAGAGTGTGGCTTCCACACCCTCATCTCCTAAAGCCAATGGTCGAACTTTAAGGGGTTCCCGCACACGGCCAACAGGCAGGAGACTTACATCAAAGGAGAATGAAGATGCTGCTCAGGAAGACGTTGAAAGCGAAGACATCAGCGATGACGCTTCCTTAACAGCCGATGAAGATACGGTCGGAGAAGAGTCGTAAGTTAAAACTGGCTATATATGTTAAATAAAGTAATGAATCCATTGCCAATCCACAGCGATGAGGAGAAGGTATGTCAGAAGTGTTTCTACGACGGCGGTGAGATCAAATGCGTGCAGTGCCGACTATTCTTCCACCTGGAATGCGTCCACCTCAAGCGGCCGCCGCGCACAGATTACGTTTGCAAAACATGCAAGCCGATGCCACAACGACCCAGGCGCCGGCACAGTAACAGTAAGTCCACAAGAGTGCCCTTGATGACTAGCGCACTTATCACTCCTATCTCTCTAGTGAATGGTGATGATGACCGCGATGAGGAGGAGCCAAAATCCAAGCGACCCCGCAACTCTTTGCGCCTATCTATCGAGAAGTCCGCCCGCGCGAGCAACGGCAACAACAACAATAATAACAGCAGCGTCAACAACAATAACCATCGTAGGAGCGGCCGTCGGACGAACGAGAACCTGCCGTTGAACAGTGCCGCCCTGTACGATCTGCTAGAGCAGATCATGAAACACAAAGCCGCTTGGCCGTTTCTGCGACCAGTGCTGACGTCGGAGGTTCCCGACTACCATCAGATCATCAAGACGCCCATGGATCTAGCTAAGATCAAGTCCAAGCTGAACATGGGCGCCTACCAGCTGAACGAGGAGCTGCTCAGCGATATTCAGTTGGTGTTCAGAAACTGCGATTTGTACAACGTAGAAGGCAACGAAATATACGAGTGAGTAAATCAGGATGATCCGTAAGCGGCCTTGCCTAAACCCCTATCTTGAATCCGTTCCAGCGCTGGTTGTCAACTTGAGAGATTCGTGATCGATCGATGTAAGGACATGCAGCTGCCGTTTAGGCCTAGCGATATGAACGGGGAAGTCGAAGCTTGCTGAGCCGGACGCTGATCTCCTCCAGATATCGTGTAAATTAGTTAGCCTACTCTAACCCGTATTTGGAATCAATCTATGTTTAAGCACAAATATTAAGTCTATTTAAAGCTATTTTGTTTTCGTGCATGCCAGTTCTAAGTTCAGCACACGCATATGCAAAAAATCCTTTTCTGTTGGTTTATGAGACTTGTATTTATAAATTATTGTAGACATTACGAAAATTCCACAATCAATAAATGAAGCGACCGATCTAAAATAAGTAAATTAAATTTTATTTCATAAATCAATGTTGTTGGGCGTGTTAAGTTTAGAGTACATCTGAAAGCCATTTAATATTTCCAAGTTTCAGAATAGCTGAGCTCCTTATAAACGCAGATAAAATGGTTGGATGAAGTTTGCCAGATTTTAAAACATTCGAGTGCAAAAACGGTTCGCTTTACAGAAACTTTTTTGGTTTTTTCTTCTAAATCGAGTAACAAAGTAGTGGATGCTGCATTGTGATTATTACTTTCTATGAAAGCTAAGCTACACAGTATGTGTGTTTCAGTGGACATTAAAAGTAAGAGTGAGTAGTGCTCTTCCTTATGAAAACATTATTTAAGCTAGGTAAGATGTTTAAAACAGGAATCTTGGCTTCAATATGGTCCAGTCTACATGGACGACGAAGTGGATGCTGTTGACTCAGTATTACAAATATCCGGAATTAGCCCATTCACTGCCTTGTGATTTTGGTTGGACGTAAGCTGGCTGTTGTTGTTCGTCTCCAGTTGGTGAAAAAGAAAAGAACTGGCGGTGCTGGGCGCCTGGGAGAACTGGGCCTCCATGGAGGCTAACGAAGTTGTGGAGGAATTGTCGCCATCATCGTCGGTTTGGAGGCTTTCCCTTTCATTGGTATTGTTGTTGTTATTGTCCCCTGACGAGGGCTCCTCTTCATCGGAGTCGTAGTTAGCCTCGGAGTCACTTGAAGCGCTGCTCCCGTCCAGCTCGGTGGTACGTGGTCGACCAGTCGCTCTCCTATGTTTTGTGGCTTGAAAGGGCTGCCTCCTTACTTTTCGCTTTCGTTTTCTTTGACCCATTCTGGATTTCGGTGTTTCAACTAAAAAGGGAAGTAATTTTTTCTTTTTTAAATGTTCATTGGGCAAAAGTTGTTGAACTACAAGGAAAAACGGTTCAGCCGAACAACTTACATATCCATACATCCCGAAAGGTTGCATGGGGCTAAGTCAAGTTGTGTCAACAAACCCCAGATACTGGCCAATAATTGGAGGCAGCAGTCCGCCCTCAGGTGTCAATGGCTCTGACACTAAGCAAACACTTGTCCACTTGTCCAACAGGATGTCAGTCGACCTGCACCCTTGTGTCCCGAACCTATGCTATTGTACTCCACAATCTCAGTCGACGGTTCAGTAACGCCTGACATGGCGACGACTTTGCAGCTAATTATGCTGGCGCTAGTGGGAGGAGCCTTCGGTCAGGCCAATAACACGGACTACAAGCTACTCCTGAGCTCCATTGTACAACAGCTCGAGGGCGGCCTGGAACTGCATCTAAGGAGCCCCGAGGACGGAGACCTCGATCTTGTCCAGTTTTTGATGGTGCAAGAAAAGAGCTCCATAAAAATAAGTGTGAAGAAAGAGGAAGCACCGACAGGAGCAGAAGTATTAAGACATAATTTTTTCGTTTTTGAAGACGCACATCAAATGCAGGAAATCCTGACCAGGTTGGTCAACACGGATGGCTTCTATATATTGGCTCTAGAGAATAACACAATTGAGGATGATGTAATCTTGAGGGATTTTGCGGCCGATGTGTGGCTTCAGCACGGACACAGTAGGATTTACTACGTTCAAATAAGCCAGCAAAGTGTGCTCCTCTATAATCCCTTCAAGCAGAGTGTAGTAGTGGTTCAAGATGCCAAAACCTATAGAAGGATCTACAAGGATCTGGAGGGTTACCATTTGAGGATATACATCTTCGACTCAGTTTATTCCAGTGCGACTGGAGATGGCGAAAACAAAAAGGTTCTAAGTGTGTCAGGAGCGGATGCTAACTTGGCCAAAACAGTGGCAAGGCAACTGAACTTTACGGCTGAGTATCTGTGGCCGGATGATGAATTTTTTGGAGGTCGCCTGCCAAATGGCGAGTATAGTGGCGGCGTGGGTCGCGCTCACCGCGGCGAGGTGGACATCATCTTTGCCGGTTTCTTCATCAAGGACTACCTTACTACGCACATACAGTTCAGTGCGGCCGTCTACATGGACGACCTCTGCCTGTACGTGAAAAAAGCACAGAGAATTCCGCAATCCATTTTGCCCCTCTTCGCGGTTCATGCGGACGTGTGGTTATGCTTCCTGCTAGTGGGCCTGCTAGGAACCCTCGTCTGGCTCATCCTGAGAGCCTTAAATCTAATTCTACGCATTGAACGCATACCGGATGGTGCACGGATCACGAAGACCAGTTACTTCGGAGCCGCCCGACGCATTTTCATCGACACTTGGGTCGTTTGGGTGCGGGTGAATGTGGGTCGCTTTCCGCCCTTTCACTCGGAGCGCATCTTTGTGGCTTCTCTGTGTCTGGTGAGCGTGATTTTTGGAGCCTTGCTCGAGTCCAGCTTGGCCACAGTTTACATAAGACCTCTTTACTACCGGGATGCTAATACTTTGAGGGAATTGGATGAATCCGGCCAGCCCATTTATATAAAACACCCTGCCTTTAAGGATGATCTCTTCTATGGCCACGACTCAGCGGTCTATCGCCGATTGGATGCCAAGATGATGCTGGTGGCCGAGGGCGAGGAGCGACTCATTGAGATGGTGTCCAAGAGAGGCGGATTCGCGGGCGTCACCCGGTCCGCTAGCTTGCAGCTGAACGATATACGATACGTGATGACTAAGAAAGTGCACAAAATCCCCGAGTGCCCCAAAAACTACCACATTGCCTATGTCCTGCCGCGTCCCTCGCCTTATCTGGAGGAGGTGAACCGGATCGTACTGCGCCTCGTGGCCGGGGGCATCGTTAATTTGTGGACAGGGGAGGCCAAGGAGCGTGCCAAATGGAGCATCCAACGGTTCCCCGAATACTTGGCCCAACTAGACGTCGGGCGGTGGAAGGTGCTCACCTTGTCCGACGTCCAGCTAGCCTTTTACGCCCTCTTTATTGGATGTCTACTTGCAGCTATTGTGTGCATGGCGGAGGTTTTGTTGCGGCGCAAACGAGCAACAGTAAACAAGATTTAATAACCCAATTAAAGACTATAGTTATATTAAAGTCTACGTAGTGTACCGCTACCGGACTCACCTATTTTAGATTCTTGTGTCCTACGGTTTCGACAGAGCAGAACGCCATCTCGTCGTCGCTGCTCCCGGGCTGCAGCCTCCGCTGATGTGGTGGGTAGCTCGTCGTCGCCGAAGAGACGGTGCGTCTCCTCAAGCCAATCGCTGATCCGCGCCTGCGTGGCAGCCTGCTTTTGCTCGCCAAGGAGCCTCAGGAGCAACTGGTCCACGTTGCGCGGGTGTCGAGTGGTGCCCCGTACCGCCAACTGAAGTAGAGCGCGGCGCTTCTTAGCGATTAGGTAGAAGATTCGGTTCGGATAAGTCTGCCAGCTCAGTTCGCTGACGTTGGGCGTGTCGATGTCCTGCTCTTGCACATGCTCCTCGGGTTGGTCCCGGTCAGTCTGAGGGTCCGGATCCCAGTCCTGATCGCGCTCCTCGTCGCTGGGCTCTTCGGTTGGTGAACTGACCTCGCTGCACGTGGATGTGTCTGTGCTGCTTTTAGAGCTGTTTTGATTGTCCATGGTGCTCCACGACTCCAGCTCGCGCTGCACCAAAGTGTCGAAGAAGGCCAGCATCACCTGGTCCTCGTCGGTGTTGCGGGCAGTGAAGTCTTGGGAAACATGATCCGACGACTCGCGATGCAATGCGCGTGTGCAGTAGGGCAGAGCTTCGGCTTGGGTAAGGGAGCCCTCCCAGCCCTGCTGGGCAAAGGGACTCCACAGCTACGTTTCGATTTTCTTATTATTAAGAGCGATATAAGGCTACCCAACCTACCTTGATGATCTTTTCCACGCCAGAGGAGGCGAGTAGGCAGCGTTCGCGGTTGTATCGCACCTGGTTTACGATGGAACGGTGGCCAGCGAGAATTATGGGCGTAGTCTCCATCCACTGGTTCTTTTCATCCACTGATAAATACCAAGAGTCATACAAGAAATCTGCAAGCTGAATATCCTAGCTAACTCACAGTCCACTCCGTCCAGCCGCCAGATGAACATGTTGAAGTTGTCCGAGCCTGAGACCACCAGCTCGTCCTGCGGCCCCGCAAAGGTGCAGCTCTTCATGGTGCAGGAGTTGAAGTATTCGTCGTGGTAGAAGGTGGCCACCGGCTCCGGGGCTCCCGGACTGTACAGGATCGGCGGCAGCCGGCGGTGCAGGGTGAGCAGCAGGGTGCCGTTGCAATTGAAGCGCACGCTCATGCAGCTCGGTGATTCCGGGATGTAGTTGTACTGACACAGGGGCCTGGTTCGCAATGAGTGTGTGAGTAAGACAAGATGCGATAAATAGTATGATAAACTTACTGCTGGTGGTGTCTTAGGTCCCAGAGCATGGCTCCCCTTTTCGCGTTGGCAGTGGCCAGAAAATGGCCATTCAGTGGGTGAAACTCCACGGCGTTAAAGGGCGTCTTGAATTTGGCGAGGGCCAGCGGTTCGGACTTGCCTGCCCTCAGGTCGTACACTAGGATCTCGCCGTGCTCCGTGGCCACGCTTAGCAGATGGCCACTGATCCTGTCTACACTCAAGCCATAAACAGGTCCATCGTGCGAGAAGTGGTTGAGGATTTTCCCTCTTTACAAAGAAGGATATAACCAGTTATTGTTTAGCATAAATATTTAACTAGATAAATTGAAATCAGTTAGTATGAAAAAATCGAATTCAATGCTCAGAGTTCATCAAGTCAGTCCCCGTTAATGGCATTGGAACCTACGTTTCTAGGTCATGCTGGATGACCAAGTCATCGTTTCCTCCGGAAAAGACGTAGGAGTTTTGGGTGTCAAAGCCCAGGCAGAAGATGTTGCTGGCATGCTTCTCGTTCATGGAGTGCGGTTTTCCGAGCTTGGACACAACCTCGCGGTCAATGTTCCACAGCAGGACCCTCTTGTCGTCGCCTCCTGGTGGTCGAGGAAGGCACTGATTAGCTGGGAGAGCAGCAGGCTATCAACAGGTTTCTCCACTCACCTGAGGCCAGGAACTGACCACCCGAGCTGAACTCCAGGGCATTTACACATCCGTAGTGGCCGGTTAGGTTGCGCTGGTAGAGATTCTGCGCCGCACTCAGGCGCTCGCGGAAAATGGCCGAGGGAAGGTGGCCAGCCACCAATTGGTTCTCCCGCTGGCTGAGGGCCAGGTCCAGATTGCGGGTTTCCAGGGAGCGCAGGTTCCGCCACAGGCTCATTTTGCAGGCTCCACCAACTGGGTTTCTTCACACGGAGGTCGAGCGGCTGCACTTGCAGTGGCTGGGACTAGGATTCAGGTTCTTTTGTGGTGTCCAGCGGGGCAGCGGTCTAGGTCCACGCATATCGCTCTCACTGTGGTGGTGCCGTTCTTTTTTTCAGTAAACGATGGGGCTTCGAACTGGAACCGCAGTGCGCTACCTCGCATCAAACCAATCCCTCAATTGCGCACTTTTAAAGGGCAGAGAAGCACGTTAAAATCATTTACTTGCAGTTTGTGAAAATCAGCCAGAATAGCGAACACATAAATGTACTTTATGGAGAGCTGCGACTACTCGTTTCGACGGGTTTATCATCACTTCGCATCGCTCCCTAATCAAAACCAAGGCAGAAAGTATACAAACCGAGAAACCAACGAACAGCTGTTTGCCCAGCCAGCTACAGTGGGACCAAGGTGCTCGAAAATGGTGCAAAAGTCACCGGGGCTCCAGTCGGAGATACGCGACCCTGTGAGATGGACCCTACCAACTGAATGATTGCCAACGGCGTACCACGTCTCAAATCAATTTACCTTAGAGATTTACATTGGTATCAGAATGAAGTCAGTCAAAATAGTTTAAAATTAGATCACTTTTGTCAGCAGTTTTCAAAATTTATAGTCATTTTTTGAATCCCTAGGTGACGCAAGCGTTTTACAATGGCCGACAGTAATTTACCACCAGAGACCGAAAATGTAATACCCGGTAAGGTCTTCTACTCAGCCACAGCCTAGCATATTAGATTTAAAATATCTATCATAATCATATTTCATCTATCATAAATTTTTGAATGTCGTCAGGGTAGATTTAGTTCATTCTGATTTCCTCCCAGTCTTTCTGCAAAATGTCGATGAAAAGGAGTGGGTGCGTCAACTAGGCGTATACCTTCGCAGCCTGCAGCACCGCTTGCGACAGGGCGTTCAGGAGCACCAGAAGGTTGTACAGTCGTCGGTGCAGCTGCTCAAGGAGGTGGACGATGTGAACAGCATGGTGCAGTTCGCCAGATGCGGCCACCAGGACTCGGCCACCAAGATACAGCGCCTGATCGTGGGATTCGAGACGGTTAGTGCGGTGAACGCCTCGCAGACCGCCGCCGGGGCGGGCATAAGTTTGCCCTCTGACATGGCGGAGATTCATGACCTGTTGGGGGAGTTCGAGCACCTTAATGACAGCCAAGTCCTGCGAGAGAGCCTAGTGAACTTCAAACGCGCCCGAGAGTCTCTGGAGAAGGTTCTAGGCCTCCTAGAGAAGATTGGCAGCGAGTCTCCACGGCCGTCTCCGCCAGGAAGTCAACTGTTCGGGTGTCCCAGTGCCAGTCGCAGCCTGCGCGAGAAGATCGAGGCCTTCAACAAGGTCTTAGAGGAAGCCCCCGAGAAGCTGGGGGACACCTGCCGGCATTTCAAGGAGTGCTTCTGCAGCTGCTGCAGCCTGGACGAGTCCTTCGAGTCCAGTGGACACAAGCCCCTTCCCGTTGCCTCGAAAACCAATTCGGGGTACGAGGGTGACATAGACAGCGAGGTGGAGCAGGCGGAACAGGCGGAGGTGGATATGAAGGCCGACCATTAAAAAAATTACTGGTAAAGAGCAAGTTGGAAAAGCAAGGAATGCAAATGAGTTGCAATTCGGAGTATCTTTTCAATGACTAGTAATACTTCATGTTTTATGGTTGTAAAGGACGACAGACAAAATCACTATAAATATACCATTTTAAATTTGTATTCTAATGCTTTGTATGATGCAGGAAACTGATTTCATATCTGAGATATGTAGCTGAATTTCATAGCTGCACTCAGCTGTTGCTGGATTTTAAGTTAAAAGAAAGAAAGAAATTAGATTACGTTTTCTTTTTAAAATGCTTTACTTAAGTGCCAAAGTTTAACATCAATATTAAAACTCTAGCTTCCCAAAGTGGCTTACTTCCCCTATTTCTCTTGTTCTCGTTTTATACATTATGTTGGTACCCACTTTGTGCTTAAAACTACAAACTGTTGCAAGTCCACTGCAAATTGTTGTGCAAAAGAGGCGCGACTTCAGGTAATTAGGTATTGTCTTCATTGTGACTTGAGGTGCACATACACATTAAAATATCACACTAAACTAGCATATATAAAATCGCGAGGCATCCCTGGAAATTCTGGCTCCGTGGAGTTTCTGCCGAGGTTAGCAGTTCGATTGAGCGGCCTGGAAGAGGTCCGAGTAGTTGATAGCAAAGAAGATGGCCACCGCTCCAATGGCGGATCCCAGCTGCGTAATGGCGCCCACCCAGACCAGCGATTGTCCGCCCTGCGCCCGCATAACCGTGGTGATTCCCAGTTTCGTGTAGCTCACAATCCCCACCAGCAAAGTCCAGGCGGTGACCACGAGTACGGCGCCCACGGTCTGGTCGTGAAGAGGCGGAAGAGGACTCAGGGCCGCCGTGGTAAAGACATAGCTGGTCAACAGACCCGCCAGGATAGAGAGCACCGTGATAAGCCGCAGGGAGGTAAAATGCAGGAACATGGCCATGAAGCAGGCCACCGGATTGGCTATCACACTGAGGGTGGCTGCCAGGTGGTACGCTTGGCCTCCGTACGGGGCGCTGGAGTAGGACTGTATGCTGCCGAACATTCCGTTGCTGAACAGCGAAATCGCACCGATTAGCAGGAGCAGGTATGTGTACTGTCCCTTGCTCAGCTTCTCCGCTTTTGGCTGGTTATCCGCCTCTCCGTAAACGTACTTGTTGCCCTCACTGACGGTCACCTCGGCGTACTCCCTCCTGGCCAATGGAAGGGAGTTCAGAAGCGTATACCCCACATAGGCTAGCACCATGAGCGCGAAAAGAATGAGGAAGTAGACACGGGTATCGAACCTCGGAGGTGTCTTCTGCAGCTCGTAGACCTCATCTCCGCTTTCGGTTACGTTGACCAGTACACAGTCGCCACTATCGCCAATGCCCTGGATCAAAGCCGTCACGCTGGGCAGGAGACCACTCAGGCCCTCGCCAATGAAGTAGGTGACCATGTACTGCTCCTTGAAGCGTCCCATGTAGGGCATAAAAAGCACCGAGCTGGTGCAGGCATTCAGCGCCGTGAAGCAGGTTAGCAAAAAGAGGGCTAGGCTGTGGTCCGTGCCAGCCACCGAAGCGGTTTGGTTGTAGAAGAACGCCGTCAGCAAGCACGATATGGCTCCCACGAGGAGCACTCCGTGAATGGTCCAACCATCATTTAGCTTCTTCGGCGAGTACTTCTGGATGGCCGTGTAGAGCAGTGGGCCCAAATTGCCGATCTGGACCATAACGCTTAGGTAAGAGGGCAGACTCCAGCCCTCTGGCGCCTCGTCCACCAGCAGGGGCAGCTGAATGAAGGTGCCATTGACGCCCAGCCAGGTGCCTATGCCAAAGAAGATGGCCAGCACGTCGACGATCCAGCTGCGGTTTCTTGGCTTGGAGCTGATCTCCATATTTTTGTTGGGGCCTCCCCAGTTAAGGAACAAGCTCAGCTCACTTTTCTTGGACTCGGGAGAGGGGCACCTGTAAAAAGAATATCAGATTAGATAGGCACCTATAGTATATCTGAGACCTGAATCTGGCGATAAACTTCTAGCAATAATTAAAAAATGTCTAAATGTAATCGAATCCAACGTGTTCTTAAAAATAATGATTAAAGAAACCTAATAATGCAATTTGCCTAGGTTTATGGTACCCAAATCAGAATTACGGGCTTTTCGCTGAATGGTTCAGATAAGCCTTAAAAATTATCATTATCAAGCATATGGTATTTACAGCTCATTATGTTTGTCTCTTTGACAGATAACCAAGTGCATACGATTAAAGTGGTTCTGTGGCTTCACGTTCGTTCCACACGAACGAAAGTACATACATATGTAATATAATAATATATAATCTTAAGCCTCACGGCAATCTCCTAAAAAGTGTGTAAAATCAACCGAAATCGCCCGCGTTTTAAAAGTAAGAAAAAGCTCATATTGCACTCCATCAATGCACTTATTCCATCTACAAGATTGAGCTTATTCTTTGCACAGCGATAAATGTGCCCAGTATCAACTTTGATTTCTTTTGGGGATATACCAAAATGGATATATCTCTGCGCTAATCCTATTTTCAGTTGATATTAAATGGGTGCCGTCGGTCACATACGATCCCCAACTAATCTGGTAATTCAATTAATTTGTGGCCATTCGAGTGGAGTGCCGATGACTGCACGTATCTGGCTGAAGACGATAAGAATCACAATCGGAAACTTAGCAGACAGTCATTGTATCTTTAAGTTTATAAACAGGAGTAAATAAAAACAAATGTATTGAATATTTTAGTGGATCCCAACAGATCATTTTGTTTTACAAATTCATGCAAGTTGAAAACTCCAAAACTAAACTATGGCACGGAAAGCTGATATTAAAAAGAATGCACCATAGTTAAAGTTGCTGTATGTGGTCGTAAAACATAATGCCAGCCAAAGTTGGAGAAAAAGATGGAAAGAAAGCCCGCCCGCAGCTTTTTAGCCTGATTCCAAACTGGTTTTCGCTCTTCAGGCGAAAGAAGCGTAAACAAAACCTGATAGCAGTACTTAGTCGCTTACCTGGCGAATTCCGCGGGACTACGAGTAGCGTCGTCCAATGTCGAGATCACGCCGTAGACTGGCCCCGCTGGATTCGTGGGGCTGCCAGCTCCGCGGCCCCGTTGGTACCTGCTCATATTCGGAGTCGGAGTGGGCTCTTCAAATTGTTTTATGGGCCCTGCGGCGATTAGATTTCTCGATCCGGGCCACTGTGGTCAAAAGAGCCTCGGGTAGTTATTAAAAATCAACGGCTCAATTGGCGTAGTGTGGAATATCGAAGGCAATTGGCAGGTTAATTTCCTTGCGAGCCGTCAATTAATACGAAGTCGAAATTCCAATTTGAGGGCCGGGAGCCTCAATTATGCAATATTCTGGGAAGTTCCCTTGACGGCGCAACAGGATGTGAAATGCAGGAGTGTCCAGGAGAAGGAGTCGACTGGAGGTGAGCACGACCAGCTTTCGCAAATTTTGTCAGCCATTTGAAAACTCAGACGTCGAATTTGATTTAATAAACATCGGATTGGGGGGAAGGCAGAATAAAACTGACGTCGAACAGCTGTTCGTCCGGCGAAAAAATACTGAAACCGTCGCACGTGCGACAAAGAGAGCGCGACTAAGAGAACATTTTAAAATACTGTCTCTCTCTTCACACATCGTAACTGCTTTGTTATGGGTTTTCGAACTCGTAAACTGTTTTACTAGAAGGGTGTATTGGTTCCAAACTCGTTTGGCATTGGCCATTTGATGGATACAATTTGGCATTCAATTTTTATAGATGTTTATCCAACTCCAGCTCCTAAGCCAACTGTGCATTGTTTCTACTGTTTAACAGTGTATTTAATTAAAGCGGAAAGTAATGAACACCAGTATGTGAAAACCAATCTCCCAGAAACCCAAATGAATGCATAAATGTTCTCCTCCAGCTGCAGCACTTAAAACGCCTGTCACGCCTTGGTTGCTTAGTTCGAGCAGAGCTGTCGGTACCAGCTTTTGCTCTCCCTGCACTTTGGATTGGAGCACATGGGACAACGCATAAGGAACTTGGGGTTGACCGACTGCTGGGACTTCAGATGATCTGCCACAACGTTTGTCAGGGCGTCGATGAACAGCGGGTGGTCGTTGGGCGCTGCAGCTCGACGGATTTCCTCCACGCCGACCTCCTTGGCCAGTTCGTCGCAGTACTCGATGTCGAGCTCGTGCAGCGTCTCGATGTGCTCATTCACGAAGGCAATGGGCACAAGGATGAAGTTCTTCAGGCCTTGCTTAACATAGCCCTATAAGGATGGGCTTGATTTAGTGGATGGAAATGGAATTCCCGCATGGAAGTCACACCTTAATGGCATCATCGGTGGCGGGCGCCAGCCAGGGTAGCGGGCCCACCTTGGATTGCCAAGCCAGGCTGTAGGGATTCGTCTGGCCAAGTTCCTGCATAACCATGTGCACGCTAGCACCGATCTCCGAGGGATAGGCGTCGCCTCGGTTGACAGCTTTCAGGGGAAGGGAGTGGGCAGTGAAGAGGATGACTACATCGTTACGTTTCGTCTCCACAAATTTGGCCAGCTCGTCACGAATTCGCTGGGCAAACGTTTTGATTAGAAGTGGATGGGTGCCCCACCGGTCGATTATGCTCCATTTAATGTCCGAGGGCAGATCACTAAAGTAATGAAGGGATCAAACATACAGCTGCAACGGTGCATTCTCAACTCACTTGTTCCTGTAGTGGGTGAATATGGAGTTAAAGCTGGATCCGGAGGTGGCGCAGCTGTACTGTGGATACTGTGAGAAGAGAACTACGCGCTCTGGCTTGTCGCTGTAATCAAGTTAAAAGTTTTAATTTAATGGTAAAAAATTTGTGTACTTTAGGAAACCAAAATTTCCAGGTAGGGGTTTGTCATAGAGTCAACTGATAATAGCAGAAACTTAAAACTTGCATTCGAGTACGTAATCAGAAGTCTATACAAACTTATTTACTAGGAATAATGTACTACAACATATGTTGTAGTCCAATTTCAATACCCTCGGGATATTTTCATCACTCTATTCTATTTTCCGACCCCACTCACTTTTCGATCTCGGCCAGCGTGTTCTCGGTGAGGGGATTCACGTAGCGGAAGCCGACGTAGTGCTTGTGAGGCGCTGTCTCCGGGGAGATCCTGTCCAGCTGCTCGCACATGAGCTGGCCCTGCAGTTCGGTCCACTTAAGGATCGGGGAGCCACCGCCGATCTCCTTGTACTTCTTCTGCACCTCGGGCGTCCTGCGCTGAGCGATCCACGGACCTAGACGGCTCTGCACCGGCAGCTGGATCATGTCCCGGTCGGTCATAATACGCAGAAGGTAGTCGTGCACCTGGTCCGTGTGCGTCGGACCGCCCATGTTCAGCATTAGAATCGCGGTTTTTGGTTTCTGGCCGCTCAGGTGGCGCACTCTCCCTGCCAGACCACCTGTGGGGGAATATGTAGATACGGCATGGAAACTGTTGAACTCGTATACTCACTTGCCATTCGGCACAGCCTTGTGTTATGCAAAAACATAGTTCTTTTTAAATTGACCCGAATTTATTGCACCGGTGACGAATAGTGTTACCAGTTGGTAAAATGTGATTTATACTACAGTTTCTTGCGTTGCACGTAACAGAGCTCTGTAAAGAGGTAACTATCACGCCATCTATGTGGAACAGCTGTCAACTATTACTCAACAGTAGTACAAATATTATCATTGTGTTTAAGTTATCAGTTCTTAAATATTTTCTTTGGTTACCCACTTTCCATTTGATTCCATTTTAATTACTTTTATTGAAACCAATACCGATGTTTAGTATATACTGATTTTAAGCCGCACAACAGAAATTTTTCGCGCCTGCGTCTTTATTCCTCTCCCTTGTCGTCAACGTTGTGTGCAACGGTAAAAGCTAACTGTCGTGCAGTCTCGCTCTCGCTCGCTGCATTTCGCTCTCGTCGCTTGCTGCGAGTGATTCGTTTCCTCTGATCAAAGAATATTTTGTAGTTTTCCACCGAATGCAGGCACAATTACTGCGCAAAAACACAAGAAAACGCGCGACCAAGTGTCCCAAAAGTTAACAAAGCTCTACAACACCGGAAAGTGTCGTTTACCATCGGGGAACAGCAAAAGGACAAGCGCCGCAGCAAAGTGAAAAAAACGTAGGGAGTTTTGGAGTGAGTGGGAGTGAGAGGGAAGGAGCACCATAGCGGTGGTGGGTGTACGTGCGCGAGTATTGGTGCTGTGTCCATGTCCGTGTTATCGCCAGCAGCATTCAAGTGCTCCAATTCGTGGCGCACGCGCAGGATAACTCGCGCTCTCTTGCTCTCTTTCTCGACTTAAAAGAGGAACAGGATATTTTATTATACTGAAATTCGTACGCAGCAAATTCGCATAGTTGCGAAAGCTTCGCGCTGCCACACGGACGCATTCCGCTACGGGCTCCCCGCACACCCACACACTCTCACACCCGCCCGCCGCGAACCCACACACACGCGCCCGCAAGCACCCTCGCGCACAGATCAATGAAAAGGCAAAAAAGTAAATTGCACTTTTTCCGGGAACCAAAAACATGTTGAAATTATCTCACAAGTTGCGCAAAAAATGCCGCAGCAAAAAAGTTGCATGGAAAGCCGTGAAAGCGACGAAACTGTGAAACGAAACGAAAGGCAACGAAACACGGCGGAGAAAGGAGCAAAGAGAGGCTGCAAGGATGTACTGCTTCTCGGAATCGCAAGCCATTGACCACCGAACCAGCGATACGTCTCTAACAAAAACCCGCACCTAGCCAATTGCATTTTGCATTTTGTATTCTCACTGCCCCCGGAAGTAAAAGCAGCTTCAGCGGAAATTAAAACAAATCTAAGCCGAAATAAAAGCCAGAGCTAGCGAGCGAAGGAGATAGAAGTAGATAGAGAGGAAGAGAGAGAAAGAGAGAGCTACCAGAGAGAGCAAGTGCATCCTTTTCACAACGCGGCACACATTTACGACCGGTGACTGCAACTAGCCCACTCCCTCACCTCCGCCCCCTCTTCACCCCGGCCCAAGTTGTCCCTTGCAATTTATGATCTCATGTTTTCATAACTTGGGCAGCAGCCGTTGGCACGGATTAGACGGAAAACGTCAAGCATCAGGACGTGAGGAGGTACCCAGTTCCAAAGTGCAGGTGAGTTTGCTAAAAAGGGGCCTATCCGGAAAACCACTCGGCGAGCGTGCAACGCGAACTGTCGGGCGGCGATGAAGTCGACAGCTTTCAGTTAATTAACAACCTAATTGAAGTGGAACAAGTCCATCAATGGAAATGACCTTGTCGCTGTCAAATTGGGCTTTGCTGGACAAGGTTGCCACAACTCGAATCAGCGATCTCTTCTGGCAAATGTGGTCATGTGGTTATGGAAACAAGTCCTGTTTCCAGACTAAGCTCTAGCGCACTTTTGAACTTCTAATGCTTAGTTGGCTACATTTATTTTTGCTTTTATTATGGTCACAGTTTTATTGGTTTAACTAAAAACATTTTTCACTAAAATCTTTTGAAAGAAAGGCTTCTAAAAGGTATCGCTTTATTCTCGAATATATGATAAGCTATAATCCATTGGCTAGTGGACGTTCCAACAATTTCGTATTAAAACATAGCATTTCCTCAAAATAATAAGATCAAATGGGAAATGTTATATCTGGCATAGTCGGTTCCTGTAGCAAACTCACTCAACTTAAAGAGAAAAAGAACATGCGGACAAAAACAAAAAGAAACAGGATATATACGACTCGGATAGAGGATACAGAAAGCAAAACATTTACCGCGACATTAACAATCAAAAATCTTTTTTGTCCGTTTTTTTTGCTCTAAGCCACCATTCCTTTTACCCCAACGAATCGCCCCTTCAGTCCGCCAAACTACCCCCTAGTTAAAAGCTTTGCTCCAATTTACCAGCAAACAGAGAACTTTGTGCGGGGCCCCACACCATAAAAATAATTTTTAAAAACGAATTCAAGCCGAACCACACCACTATCTTAATATTATGTTGGAACTGTAAAAATCCCTTGAATAAAAAATAATGCTAGCAGGTTTTATACGTTAGCCGAAAATAGACTTTCCATAGAGACCATTTAAATCGTTTTGTAATTTTTATTTTATTCAATTTATGTCGTTAATGTTATATTCTCTTCAAGAAGGACAATCGGGACGATTAGCTGATTTTAAAGTTGTATAGTTGACTTGTAGAAAATCTTTAAACAGAAAGTTTGTTTCGTTTGGTCCGCTTATGTCGTATAAGTCGAGCTGTAATCTAATGTGTGGATGGCGGCTGCCATGCTGTGCAGCCATAATTCCATCCTTTTGATTCTGCACTCACTAATTAGATAAAACCCAGGGTTTCCCCGCAACGTTGCTAGTTTCTATGGTTTCGAGCATATTTTTGGCATTTTAACGCGACTTCTACCGTCGTCCAAGTGGCGAGTTGTGAGCTCCAAATTCGGTGTTGCGAGTGCCTAGTTGCGGGTTGCGGGTTGCTGGTGGCATGTTGCACTGTCGCCTGGTGAGGCAGCTGAGCACCGGCGGAAGGGACCACATGGCGCGATGCGACTGCACTGCAAATAATGCTTTTCACGTTGATGATGGGCTCCGATCCGAAAAGTAAATGATCATGATACCAATTGTAAGAAGCTGCGCTTCTGTTATCGGCCCTCTCTGCCTAACAATCATAAGCTGAACCGATTAATATAGCTTCGGGAAGGCAGTGTCCTTTTTTTGTCTCAGTGGGTGTGCAGTCGCATGAGCGTGCGGCAAAGCCCAGTGGGTGTGATGGTGGGTACGTGGGCACGGTGAGGGTGCGACGGTCCCAAGTGGTGGGTCTCTGTTTCGTTGTATATTCCTTTGCCGGAGTGGACGAGGGACTGATGAGGGAGGGCGTTGTGGATAAACTTGAACGCAGCAATAACAATACCAAATAATGCCATGATGGGGTTAGGACTGAGCCCAAAAAGGGAAATCGATAAATCTGTCTTTCGTCATCGCAGCACTGCCTCAGGCAAAAAGCATTTTGAAGTGTGAATTTCCTGATTATTTCCAAATTCCTATAGATATCTTATAAAATTCAGTTTTCATTACTTATGACCATTTCGTTATAAATTTGGCTTCTTGAAAAGAAGCTATAGCCCAAGGAGTTTTGCTCAGCGTTGCCAATTCGTTTTTGTACTTGTACTTGCTTGCTGCGGGAAGCCCCCGTTTTTTGTTATTTGATAAATGATTTGCCATTTTGCCGCTGGAACGGAGTGCGGCAAGCTATGCCACTCATTTATGCACACACATAGCGAGCTCAATTTATGATGTCATTATAATACATTTTATGCGTGCCTAGACAACATTCCCGGCGACTGGCGACTGCCGACTGCCGACTGGTAAAGTTGTTCTCGGTGTGGTTATGGGTGTAGCTGCTGCTGTTAGTGAACACCCTGTCGCTGCTGCCAGTGTGACACAAAGTATCTTGTATCTGCATGTTCCAGCTCATGCAGCTCCCCCGCACGGATGCAGTGCACCCGCCTCGAAAGGAATTATGAATAGACTTTTTTCCGTTCCGTACCTAGTACTGCCAGCAGTGATGCCGTTTAGGCTTTGTTAGCTAAATATCTGGTTCTATCCACTAACAAATATGCTCCTGCCAGTATTGCTGGTTCAATATCTTTCCTATTGTGTTTAAAAATCTTAGAATGTGGATAACAAGTGAAACACCATTCATGTACATGAGGTCATCTAAGCACTTTTTCCCCAATTTCGGAATACAATTTCTGGACCTTAAAAGCTGAATACTCTCCGTAAGGTGTTTGACATCACTGGAACTAGCGTTGAATACTGGCAAGGAAATCAGTTGTCAGTGACGCAGCTGGACCCCCGACATGTTCCTGAGGACATAGCTCCACATTCTTCATTGTACATTTGAATGTCCTGTGCACGATTGTAACATTTTGCATTGCAATTACGGCGGGTGCAAGGAGGAGTTCGGAGGGGCAAGCTGCTTTGTGGAACAAAGTCTAGAGTTGTGGCAATGTGCCAGCCAAGGCTTTACTGGTTTTCCTTTACATCTGACTTAAATTTATATGACAATGATCATGCTGATGATGACGATGAATAACCTGGTTGAGAATGGCATAGGGCCACTCAATGCTAAGCCCTTGGGTATTGGTTGTTAATGAAAGAATAAATAAATGTTAAGATAAGAGTTTCCTGGGTTTTTGAATTCCCTATTAGGGATCCACTTTATTATTGAAAGAAAAATCATAACTATTATTTCGAGGCCAAGGACTGTTACTTTGTTCACTTAACAGGAAACTATAAGAAAGGAACGAACTATGCCTTTAGCGCAATATATTGTTGACGTATAAAAGCTTTTCCAGTGCTCGCCGGGATTCGAATGGAAATGTTCCTCGCAAGGGTCTAGCAAAAAGCGAGTTCAGCTTCCTAACGAAAACTGGGCCAACACAATTAGCCCAAAGGCCAGGCTGGTCCGCTTCATTACCATAAATATACAGCTATGCGAATGAGCGCGCATTTTGTCAAGTTGCCAAGGATGTACCAGAACCAGAAGTGGCCCACATTCGCTAAAATATCCTCAATGTGAGGAATGTGTCCTTGGTTGGATGTAATTGATGTTTAAAACTCTAACATGACCATTAATACAAAGCATATTTTTGTAATTTCACAAAGTTATCTACAAACTTTGGACCAATATAATTGGAAAGTCCGAAATAGCTTATTTGTAAAATGAAAAACTTGTAGCACATATTTTTGGGATATGCCATGCGGTAGCGGACAGTGACCCATCAATGCGCCTGCTAGTTTCCCTTTCCCTTCTACCCTCATCCATAGTCCTGCTTAGCAAACATTGTTTTATTTATTATTTACCCAGGACGAAAGCCAAGGACTGCAGTATCAGCGCTATAAAATCAGAAGCAGACAGTTACCCGATATATGCATAATATGGAGGCGCAGTCGGGACTCGTCCGTCCAAGTGCTCGAATGCCTGTCAAGCAAATGCATATGACACATGTCAGCCTCGTGGCTTCAGACCCGCGAAGTGTAAAGCTTCATTAAGTTAGGCACTACGAGATACACTGTCAAACGAACACGATGCACAGTGTTACGCTCGTTAGGGAATCCAATCTGAAAAATATTTTCGTTGGCTACTCGGCAACTAAGTACACAACTTTTTGATTACCTTTCTCCCGCTTTATATCGGGGGATTGTCCAGATTGTCCCGATTGTCTATCAGGAAATTTTGAATTGCTACGCACCAGTATAATCCACAAATTACGGGCCTTCGAGACCCACTGTACCTCGACCCATTAGGCGTCCTAGTAGCGGGTAGATGTGCCAGCTTGTTGACAGTCAGATGACAGTAAATACTTGTTTATGGCTCTGAGCTCGTTCTTTAACTCATTACTGCCTCCGCTTTCGATTGCAGGAACACTCCACTCGCAACGAAGCCCGAACTTGCATTTTTATATCGCATTTTTGTAAGGAACCAGAGGAACGTGTTCAGCATTGACCAAATGCCATCGCTACCAGCTCTAGTTGGACGAGCAAGCAAATACGGCAATTAACAGAAGTTGCCTTCAAACGAAACCCCACCCAAGGCGAGAGGAGGACAGGAACGAAGGAAGACATTCCCAATCGGATCCCCACTAATAAATGCAGTGGAAGAAGAAGTTTACTCGATTGAAAGCAGCTACTGGAAATTCGCGTGTGCGAAGAATGCTTTGTTGTGGACGCAGAAAGGTGAGTAATTGACTAGCATGGACTTTAGCTCCAAGGGGTGTACAAATAAGCTTCTTTTTAATGCCATTAACTACTAAATATATGTGGGTATTTCACTAGTGATTTGTACGCATAATAAGAGTGCTTTCGAAATTAGAAAATTAAAAAGGTTGGAGGTTCCTAGCACATGTACACATATTCGTCCTCCAAAGTGGGGAAATTGGCACAATCTGTCAGTCAACTGGGGGGCACCACGGCTCCCTTATCATCGTCGTGGCTGCCATAATAAATTTACAGTTTACGCCTGAATTTCAATGAAGACTTAATTGCAAAATCTGATTTATATGCTGCTGCCGGAGCCGCAGACGATGGGAGGACATGTAACCATCCATCCACGTGCATGCCACTTTTTGGGGGCTGTTCACCTTTCGGGGTGGTGTTTGCACACAAAGTGCGAACATGGCTCCCCTCCTCAATGCAAGCGATACACAGATGGCGACAAATTGAATTACAAGCCACACGTGTGCCGTCTATCGGACTTTAATCAAAGTTACCGCACTGTTTAATGCAATTTTTGAAATGAACTCCCGATTGAATGCCGAGTAATTGGGCTGAACAAAGGGGTTTAATCTGCTGGCCGACAGCACTTAATTTGATTGCGATTCGTGCTTAGTGGAATGGATAAGAGTGTTTGCTCGACTGCTCCCACCTGGCCCGGCGCCTCCTTATTCCCTGTGGCTTGCCCGTACATTAGGCACCTAACTGAGCAAGGTGCTCCAGTTTTACTTGCATGGAGCAGCAGTGGGAGGGAAATTGAAATGTCTAGAAAGCTGAAAGGGTGTTACTTTGCATAAGTTGGAATCAATAACTTAGACTTATGGATTCATGCAGGTTTGCTGGCTATATTCACTCTGATCGTTGTAAATTAAGAATATTGAGTCTTGACAACATTTAAGGGTTCTTATTCATCGTCGAGATCGTAGCAAGGCTGCCATCACTGGTCGCCTTCTAGGAACTTTGCCACCAGGCAAGCCACCAGGAGAAACTTTATGATAAAGTCCTTGCGGATAAGTCCTTGGAGATGCGGTTGCCGACGCATTTGGAGCACAGCCACGCCCTGCAGTCGCTCTGCCGGCTGTTTGTTTTAGTTATAGTTGATTATTTTTCTTTTCGCCGCGCTGCAAACTTTGACTTTGGCTCCCTGACATCGCAAAGTTTAACAAATAAATTAATTTACCCTCTGCACTCACGCCGAAGCTGCCTTCTTAATCGTCCCGCGGGGTTCAAGGGTTGCCGAGGAATTCAATTTGCAGTGGGAGCCCTTATCCCGTTCGAAAATGTGCATCAGGCCCGAGGAAGCGGAGATTGCCGAGAAATCTGTGAACTGACGAGGGCCAGAAAGGGTATTCCGGGTGCGCTGCAGCCCGGCGCCACTTTTAGATTGCATTTCTTGGCTTCTATGGCTGCCGTTGCCTTAATCAGTTCTGCGCCAGGCGCAGTAAATTGATTTGTTAAACAATTTTTAATTGAAATAAGACGCTGCCGGGCAGAATGTCAAACTTGTATGCCAATACTGCTCGGCTTCCGTTCGCCAGGCACTTGAGGAGCGGCGAACAGCTGCAAAGTTGGTCAAGTGAGACGCATTGGCATTTCTATTGGCACACGAGTGTTGACTGGCAGCCAAACAGGCAACCAGGGACTGCAGGCGTGTCGGGGGGAGAAATCAGCATATTGGATTACAAATTGCAGGGCTGGCCCGGCTAAAATCGAAACCAGTCAATGGGATTGTTTTGCCCTCTGAAATGGAGCAGCATCCAGTTGGAAGTGCAGCATTTTTTGGCGGAATTTCAACGAATTCCGCTGCCAACGAGGCAGTAAATTATTTTGATTTATGCCCAACGACGCATGAGTGATGTGAAGTGGCATCCGTAAATGTGCACTGGCTGCATTTGAAACTAATTGAAAATCTGACTGACAAACGCCGATTTAGCGATTGATTTTTTCGCTACCCAATGCGTTTGTAACCAAATATTTGCTATTGGGCTTATTTCGTATAATTATAGTCATAATATCTCATAGATGTTAACTAGCCAAAGCGTTGACGAGGCTGTTGTTATAGATTTGTGGAGTGGTACTTGCTCCAGGGCCTTTAAATGTTTGCGTGATTAGATGCCTGCTGAATGAAAGTTTATGAAAATAGTTGCGGCTGTGGCCGGCGGCCCTTGATGTATAGGGAGCTTGCCGGAGGCTTTGTGGAAAACTTTTCCAACTTGTTTGCCATGCAGCAGCACGTTCAGAGCTTTGAAATGGCGCAGAACGATGGCCTTCCCTCCTGGCAACTGGTCCTCCTGTCTTCTTGGGCATGGAGTTTGTGGAGTGCCATTCACAAATAAATGGCGGGCATTTAGGCAGCCGCAGTCTGAAGTCTTTCTTCGGCTGTTTGAGCTCCTTCCGAGTTGGCAACAACAATTGGAGGACGCAGCCAGGAAACTGGAAGCGACGACTAACACAGAGTTTTGCCTCAATGCAGATAAGGCTATTGCCTCAGCTGGAGTTGCAGATGGAGATGGTGTTGCTGGTTCTGTACACACACACTGTGAAAAGTGTGCAACTGAATACTTCTTTTGTTAATAATTATAAGCAATTTCCCACAACTACTCCGAGTTCTGAAGTCAAATCTGTTGCTAGATTTCTCTGCCCCGTTTCTCACAGTGCCGCCATCTCACAGATACATCTCAAAGGTAGAAAGTTTTGCCCAAGACAAACACTGCCACAGCATTTCTCTCCCCATTGTCTCCCGGCCAACTGCTCCCGATATTTCTTTGCGCTTTCTTTTGGCTTTTCCTTGCAGTTGCCCAGAAAAATCGTTTCAGCCCTGCTGCACCTCCTGGAATCCCACATTCCGTTCCCTTGTTTTTGTTGCCAAATGATTTTGAAAAAAGAACAAGCTAAAACTATTAATTGGCAACGCAGGTGTAGCGGTTTCCTAATTGCTGCCAACGCAGCGCAAAAAGTTTTCCGCCCGTGGAGCTAATAATCTTAATTTTGGGTGCATTGACTTGGAAGAGCTCCGATAGAGCCAAATGGCTGGGGGCCATCACTGTTCGCTGGTTCTCGAAATGCCAGTTCCCACAACACTTTTTAAAATCAATACTGGGCCGCACGATCATGGCAACATTCAACTACAATCAATTAACTAATTGATTAATCGGCGACTTAAGCTGCAACCGTATTTAGCTAAGTTGCCTCCGCTTTGGACCCGCTGCACTACGCGGGCCAACTGGCTCAAGGACGGGTTCCTGTTCCCAGGCTCGCACTTTACTTCCCGGCACTTTACTTACCTTGTTAGGGATGCTTACGTGCCTCGAAATCCAGTTCGTCCCTCTTCTGCTCGACTCGCTTCAGCTACGTGCCCTTCATTTGCGCAACTAATTGCAAAAGTCTTACGCAACTGCGGGAGACAGTCGTCAGTAGTGTCGTTGGAGTGTCGACGGCGACGTATTGAAATGGTGCCGTGTTCATCGAAGAGTCGACTTTGTTGCGTGCACGTAAAATATTTGCCTGTCATTGGGCGCCCTTTTCCATCGGGGGACTGTCGAACGTGTTTATATTTTGCAGCTGGCCGAGTGGTGCTCCGTCCTCTTGACAGTTGACTTATGGCCGGGATCCAAGGCCCAAGGCCCAAGGACCCGGGAGTGATACCTGTGCTCCGCTCCTAACTAATTTTTAATTATTTCCGCCAGCCGGGCGGCCCATTAAAATGATGAGCGGGAATTAGCCCAGCCTCCTGGTAATGATAATGGGCTGCCCGTCGGCTGAGCCGAGCTGAGCTGAGCTGAGCTCTGCTCTGCTTTTTGAGTTTTCTGCTCTTGGCCTGGCTGGCTGGTTCTGCTGGCTTCTAACTGGCAGCGCTGCGTATGACACAATTTATTTTTGGACCATGAAAACATGAGCCTCTGTGTGCGGGGTAGTGGGGCATAGGTGCGCCTAGCGTATTGGGGACACTTTTTCGCAAGCAAACACACTTGGCCAAAAGTGATGGATGCACTAAGAAAAGCATTTGGATGCCAGAAACTGAACACATATTAACTCGCAGTGAGCTAGAATATTATAGGAGGGAATACCTAAACACATCTCTCGTTTTGGTGCTGACATTTGGTTTATGGCTGATAGTTGAATTGAATTACTTTCTGGATATTCTAGGATAAGTGGATGAATCTGAGATCGAGTCGTGACAGCTGCAGAAATTGCAGTGCTGGGGCGAAATTAACCCACGAACTGCAGTCCTACCGAAGGCAGCATCCACGCACACATACACATACACACATCACAACGCCGGTGCGCTGGTGTGCGTGGGTATCTGTGTGCGCACTAAAAGCGGTTTATGCCACTCACATGTAAACCCAGTTGCCTGCCAAGTGTTTGGCTGTTTGGATTCAACACCCACACACGATTGTTGTGTGGATAGGTCGTGGCTTTGCGTGTTCCAAGCAACTCAGCCACCCAGCCACCCAGCCGCCCCACTTTCCCCTGGGCTGCTCAAATTTTCTGTTTGCTTTGCTGTGGATTCGCTACGTTTCGGCGGAATTCCCCCTGCCAGCGTCATCGGCCCCCTTTTTACTTTTCGTACCTTAAACGTATTTTGCATTTGTTGGCACAGATCCGAAGGGGTTGGTGGGTTAAGGTTGGCGGGTGGGCTTTGGCGTTCTCTCTGTTCGCTCTTCTACCCCAGTTCTCTTTCACGAATTTCTCTCCGGCGCAGGGAAAGCTTTTGTAGTAGAGAAATAAGAACCATTTCGTTGTTGTTTATCCCCCCGCTTTATTTCCCTTTTTCTGATAAATTCTGTGGGTCTTGCGGCTGAGCTTCCTTAGAGTGCCCAGAGTAAAGGAAAAGTTTGCAGGACATTTTTCAGATTGCCAAGTTTTGCAGATACGTGGGCACGTGTAGCTCGACATTAAATATGCAATGACACAGATTAGGCCGTTAGTGTGAAGATCAAACAACTATTTGGATACATTAA